GGGTAGTATATATATATATATATATATATATATATGAACAGTGAGCGAAAGCACAATAACTCTTTCCTAATCCTTCGCGACGCTTGTCGAGGGTTCCCGCTCTTTCTGTAAGTTTTAACAACAATAGTAGTACCAACGGCAAGAGGATAAAAACAAAAGCGTTCTTTAATATCAAAGAATATTTTGTTTATCGTGTGAGCCACACAGTACGCTTCATGAGCTCTATGAAAAGCCAGCCAGCAATACTCATGACAAAGGGCATTGTTGAACTTCGTACAAACCCTGCGCGTTTGGTTGGAAACATTCTGACCTTCCGACACACACAGTCTAGGAAAGAAGTGACTCTTTTCCCATTGCCTAACATCGCCTCAGGGGCTTACTTCAAACGAACCTTTAACGCCGAAGTGCTGATGCGCCAATATGATAGAATCCTCTGCGAAGACGGACGCCTTCCCTTCCTGGAGGGTACTTTGGCAGGCTACAAACAGGAGTTTCTCCGCATGTGTTTTCCTTATTTTGCCCTTCGCCCAGTGGTCGCGGATAGTGAAAAGTTTGATGGGATTTTGCAGCGCGATTTTATTGAATCTCGTATGGCTTACGAGATGGTGGTGGAGGGCTGGGAGCCACCGGTAGACCCGCGGGCACGGCGTGGAATAGAGCGGATTGCGACCTACGACGACGGAACTAAAGTGGCCGTCCCATGGGGTGTTTATCACATTCCATATTTTCGCTACCGCCTCCAAAAGGAAGGGTATGTGAAAGTGAATATAGAGGAGGTGATAGTGCTCAACTTCCGCAAAGTTCTAAAGGTGATAGTCCTCCTCGGTGTGTTATTTTCTCTCTTCGTCATTGTCTCCATTGTTCTGATCTTTTTTTAAAAAGGAGGAGTGGTGGATTTGCTAGTTGTAGTGATGGTGAGGCAAGCAATTGGAGCATTCGAAGTGGGAAACCTTACAAAAAAAAATGTAGGGACGTGTGAGGGTAGATAAACTTCACCTTTTAATGGAATATTACGTGTGTAATATTTTTTTATTTGTACACTCTCTCCACACATTACATAAATGGGTCAAATAATGACACAAAAGAAAAGAAATACGGAAGCTTTTTTTTTCGCTTTGCTATCGTTACGTGCTTTTCATCTTTTTTCGAAGTCCCTCATCCCGAAATGGAATAACCTATTAGATTAGTTCCGAAATGAGTTACGATCTTTTTCATAAGGAATAACCCCCCCCCCCCCTCCTCCATAAAGAAATAAATTACAGTGTTATAATTTTATCTTTTTTGAGGATGCTTTTCATCAACCTCTTTTTCTTCATATGTCTTGGGGCTTTTGGTTTTAATAAAAGAGCATTATTATCACTACGCTAGTGTATATTCGTTGATTTATATGTATACCTAAGGCCGGTTTAATGGAAATATTGAAAAACCTTTCTGAAAATGATTTAGACAACCTTCGTAACGTATTCAACAACAACTCAAGGCACGCTCTTGGTGAAAACGCATTCAAAAATGCCATATCTAGTGCCATCCAAAACAAGTCAATTTGTATTAGCCACGCGTATCTATCTAAGCTGTTTGCATCCATTGATGTCGCTGGATCTGGATACGTTTCCTGGGATGAGTTCACAACATTTGCAATCGAGCAGGCATCTGGGCTTATAACTGATACATGCACGGTTGATACTAGTGTCGGCTCGGTAATACTAAATAGACACAGAAGTTCAATGGGATCTATGTCTAGGAAATCGGGGTCTGAAGATGGGATGAGATTCAAGGAAAGAATAGGTTCTATGAAAAGAAAGATTTCCATGGGGAATGGGGCAAGAAGTGTCGATATGACTCGTAGGGACTTTGAGAGCGTCACGGAGTGTGAATCTTTCAATAACGAGAGTCCAGATAGTAGTAGTTTGCCTTCCTTGACAAGCATCCCCAATGAGGATTCGTTCGACACCTTCCGTCCGTTCCATATCGACCAGGACTTCTCGCAGCCGTACGGGTGGGAGGTAATGAACCTTCGGTTTATCAAATCTATCCAGAAGCTAGTGAGCCTGTCTCATGATTCGAAAGGTAGGAGTATGATCTCGGTCTATGATATAATGAAAGATGAAGAATTGAAATTTTACGCCGAAATATTTGTTCCAAATGAAACTGTACTAGATTGGGATTACATTCCCCCAACACCAACAAGTCTTTGCAGCTCCAACACACTTGCGTGCTCCTACAATGGTGGTGTCGTGCGGCTATTTACACTTGAAAAGAAAAAATTCGGAAATGATGCCTTAAAGCTCTCGAAGTCAACAGATGTTCATGAGACCAAAACAATCATACGCTGGTGCTCGGCCTACGATGGTAAACTGGCGATGGGAAATCGTCACGGCATGGTGGGGCTGTGGGACATTGAAAAGGACGACCTCATCTCTGAAAGACGAATCCACGAGGGTGGTATTACTGCACTATTCCCCCGTGGTACTAAACTGTACTCCGCTAGCCTAGATCGTACAAACTCTGTAAAGTTCACAGATCTCGAGCGACTCGAGGTGAAAACGGCCTTCAATGATCACGGCATTTCCGGTGCCACTTGCTTGGAAGTGGACGAAGAATATCTGTTTTCAGCTGGATTTGAAAACAAGATCGTGCAGCGTCCAGTTCAGTGCCCCAAGAGCCATCCCACTTTCCTTTACGATTCCTTCCAACCTCATGAATGCCACATCACTTGCATCCGACGCCTCGAGGACGTCCCGTACCTAGTCAGCGCCGATGCGAGAGGCTGCATCAAAATCTGGGACCTACGGATTAGTGGCGTCGTGCAAACTATTTCTATGCACCAGGCCGTTCGCCAGAACGAAAGACGATTCGATAGTCAAGAAGACTGCTCGGCTTCCGGAGGCCTGCATCGAATAGTTAGAAAAGTCCTCGATTCCATCCACTGCAGTCAACGAGGCTCGCAGCGAGGGAGATCAGCGCAAGGGGTTCACGAGCGACATCGTAGTGCCAGCACACGAAAGCCAGTCGCAGGGTTTGGAAATGGTTTCACCCCAACCAAACCTCAGAAAAGACCTAGCTCTTTAATGAACAACCACATGTTCATTAACACCATCTGCCCGTTCACCGCGTCTAACTTTTTGGTCTCTATCCCAAGGAAACTCTATATGCTCGGTTGCGCCGAGACGACCTGTCCGGATTTGGTAGACGATAAGGTTTCATGTCGTTTTCTTATGATCCCTGACGCGAGTATGCTCCTCACGGTGCATGAGCGTAGCGCGAAGTTATGGCAGATCTCAAACGGCCTGCTAGTGTATGCCACGGAAGACAACCTCCTCGAGAACGACATCACAGCCTGCGCCCTGGTGGAACCCCTACAGCGGCAATTTCTTCTCGCCTCGATGACGGGCGAGCTGCTTAGTTTTTCGGTCTCGCTAGGCCGGTGTACGCACTCTCTGACCAACGTTCTAGAAGAAGCAGGTAGAGGAAAAAAGGAAATCCTTGCGCTGCACACCTTGCCCTGTTATCGAGACCATCTTTGTCCTTACGTTATTGTCAGCTATGTAGACGGAGTCATCATAGCCCCGCTGACCAAGGACTGTGAGGCGCAGAATGTGATGAAGCTGAGCATTTTGAATAAGATGCTCGCCACAAGCGGCGAAAGTAGCGTAGGTTCTGGCCGTTCAACTCCCAATGCCGCCATTCGAGACACCAAACTGATGGGCAATAAGCTCTTTGTGTGTGACTCAAACTCCAATATCTACGTCGTGGATCTCTTGAACAAGAGCAATTCGACCTTTACGTTGAAACTCCCCTTCCACGGCGCGGAGCTTCTCTTTCTGAGCCCGTTTCTCAATCTCGACCATCTGCACCGCGCCGTCTTCCCGGAACCCCAACCGGCGGAGGATCCTGAGCGGCTGTACGACCGGTTGCACCCGAGGCCCGACCCTCCCACGGCACCAACA